CTTTCCATCTCAGTGTGTGAAGGTCGACATCGTGTGAAAATTTAATTTATGTGCGTATATCTAGATAAAATACCTCAGACGAGAGATAACACCTGCAAGTGAAAGACAAGTTAATGATTTACTGCCAAACAAATATGTTCACAACTGAGTTTGGCACTATGGAACGTGGGCGTTTAAGGCGATCACACATTTTTGGTTGATGATTTTCCTTATTATCTTGACGTAAAAATTCCAACGCGAAACAACCGTTCGTGTCATACGGAAATATACACAGATTATATAAACTCTGTGCAAGCGAGAGAGAGAGAGAGAGAGAGAGAGAGAGAAGTGTGGATAAATGAATGCGTGATGGTGTATCAGATGTCAACGGCTATAAGATGATTTCACGGAAAACTCAATATGTAAACGAACCGAAAGTAAAAAAGTGAGATTCGCGAATTGTTTCGAACAAAAAAATATCGCTATCAAATGAAGTTGTGCAGGCCGTATACAAGAGGTATGTATGACAGGAAAAAGAACAAAAAGAAAAAAAAAACATATAAAGAAAAACACAAAACCGGAAAACTTTACCAAAATGTCAAATTCATCAAGTTGAAAAGTGTCTTTTATGATTTGCACGCAATACACGTCAGAGGTGCAAATAAAAACAAACGACAGTAAAATATGCAAACATTACGCGACAATACAAAGAAGCGCAAAGAAGTTTGTGGTTGTCAGTAAAAAGTGTTGGTTTAATAAATTTACATCGTCAATGTGTATGTGAGAAGGGCACAAATTTGGCATGCAATTTGTTTTGGGCGTACTTTGTCATCAATTCAACATTCGAAAGTGATCATGTCATCATGGCTTGTGCTCGTCTTCTAAATCAGAAAAAAATCATACAACAAAGACCGTGCAGGGTGCACGCACTTTGCACGTGAGCCCAACACGGTGGCTCACACTTGGTAATCAATTCAATTTTTATATCTTCAGTATATTATGCGTACTGTCGCAGCAATAAGAGAACCAGTAAGGGAACCATTAAATCGGAATTAATGAGTTTTTATGTGAGCTATAAAGGTAAACACTTTGTATTCGGACCATTTGAATGTCATTTAGACACGGAGCATCGTGCATTTTGCTTGTTTCCAAACAAAATCCAAAGACGTGCTACAGACATTTTAATGGCTAATCGGTTGCACCGTAAGCATCGCTAATATTCAGCATAAATGAAAGTGTATGCGAGAGTGAAATTTATAAAGTAACAATTATTTGAATTTATGGCCAAATCCACCGTTTTATATTCGACATATATTCACAAATTTTACGCCCAAAAGCGACATCAAAATTTGACACTTTGTATGTATTCTGATATGGTGCTTGAATTATCAACTGGAATAAAATCTTGTGTTTATTATTTTCATTTGGCGAATGAAGAAAAGTGTAGGTGTTAAGTTGAAAATATACTATTTCAAAGCGAAATCGTTCTGTAACAATACAAAAATTGAGAAAAGTTATGACACGATTTGACGAAATTAAAAATTTCTCATCGTGTGTTATGACGAGCATAGATAGATATTTCTAGATGAGTTTTCCGAATATGGTGATGATGCGTGACTTGACAAAAGTTCAATTAGAGAGACTAGAATACATTGTGATCTGTTGTGTGTGTGGTGAACAATATTCACGCGATAACTCTGCATCATACTACACCAAAATAGGTTAATTAAAATTTGATTAGATGAGGTGGTTTTCTGCCGGGGAACAATTCGTGTTCATTCATTCTTGAAACAAATTATATAAAATATGTGCTTGTACACATTTTACTCTCACTTTAACTAAGCTATTTCATCTCCGTTGGAGAAGCATATTTCGAAAAATGGTTTTGATAGTAAAGCTTAGTAAGTTTTAATTTCATTGTATTTCGGTTCTATATAATTTTAAAGGAAATCCTTCATTTTCAAACTTGAGTATATTATGTGTTGCTGTTCAAGTAAATGTCATTGAGTGGTTTCCCGTATTCGATTACCAAAAGTATCAAATATCCTATAATAATTTTAGCCACTTTATCTTATTACAAAATAATTTTCTAAAAGGACTGATTCTTATTGAATCAAAGTTTGTATTGAAAAACAATAACCTCTAACCAAGATTACGTGCTGTTCACACTGTTCATGGCGCATTAGTTTTGTTTAGTTGGTCTCTCTCTCTCTCTCTGATGTATGTAGTCTATGAAATGGTGAGCATGTTCGTGCGATAATAAATTATTATTATTTGCATCACATACTTTCGAGCAGGTGTTTTTGTTTTCATCCAAAAGACGACAACAACAACAAAAAAATCGTCAGTCAGTATACTCTTGGTTTTGTTCGAACTTTAACTCGTTCGGGCTTATTCATGTGAAATGTGAAATGCATTGTGAATACCGTTATGATGTCTAGATTATGGTCGCCAATCTAGAGAGTGTTTCTGTGTTTGAACATGGCAAAGCTACCATATTATTACCGAGACAGTTAAAAATAACATGACTTACATTATCTTATATGGTGCAAATATGTAGGGCTCATACTGAACGGCAATAATAAAAAAAAAACAAGATAAAACAGAAAAAAGCAGAGCATTAAAAAGAAGACGCAAACTAAGCACAAATACATAACCGCATTGAAACAAGAAGAAATGCATGAAATAGCAACAACTACAACAAGGACGACGACGAAGATGGTGGCGGCGACAGTAGTAGTTGTAGTAAAATCGAGGCAACGATTTAAGTTAATCGCTTTAGCTGCTAATCCTTTCGGTTGGCACACAACACACGATGAACCAAATATCATACCAATATAAACACATATTGAAGGCGAACAAAGTTGTTGTGGAATAAACGCGTTCACCGGCACAAATCCGTCGCTAATATTATTTACATGTTATTACAATACCCCGTTTGGTAAATATTATATGGCTTAATTTATGCAACACTTAAAAATAACAATATATATATAATGTACATACGCACCAAGTTGAAAGCACCAGCTTCTGAAGGCATTTCAACTCTATCGCGCCGATTTTATGCATGCTGCTGTTTATATGATATACTTTGTATGCTTGCAAATAAAATATTGTGAGTGCAATACGAAACATACCATTCGGCAAATACAGCGTTCAAATTCTGTGATGAAGAAGAAACGAAACAAAACCGAATGAAAAAAAAAACATAGACTCGGAAAGCTTCTCACTTTGCAAAACTCTGTCACTAGATTAACTTCTATGCATTTCGAATGTGTCATGTGAATTTCTACACCGAAAAACTTTTCACATTCATGTATTCGGCCCGTTGCTATTGTTGTTGCGGCTTCTGCTCTCATTCGGCACAAATATATGCGATAAGAACAGCTAATACCGGATACAATGTCTAAGTGCTTGTATATGTCGTCCTCGAAACAGGAGTAAAAAAAACTACGGAGTTTTACTTTTTGCCCTTTTTTCGTTTCGGCTTATAAACGACTCACTTTATTTTTGGAATATATACTTAAAATTTGATTTTATTCATTTATGCAGATTGCATGTATCTTTCATTCTCTTGTGCAATTTCTTTGGCATTGCGGACGACGCACACGCAAAAATTCGATTGTCAACGTGAAGTGATATGGATACGGATGACGGTATTCAATGTACACATTTTCATTTTTGTTAATTTTCATGTAGCAGTAAAATAATCAGTAACACAACAAATAATGGTTTCGTGTAGCGCAAGACCAAATTATGATATTTGATTCATAAATTATTCATAAATCTTTGTTTTCACACAGTCTAAAACTAGTACTATTTGTCTCATGCACCATGAATCTGTCACCCCACATATTCACCTGAAGCAGACGGTGAAACAAAATTGAATTAAATGCATAACAAACTGCTCAAGCTCATACTTGCATGGTAACTGCCTTAAATGACGTCGTGGAATTATGAAAAAAATAACTTTTTATCTTTACAAATAGATGAGATTCTTACAGTCTGTCAAATCTCGACTCACAACTAAAATTGTTTTTATTTGCGTATCATCCGAAACATTGCTTCGTTATTATATAAAAAACATAACTGAAAACACAACGAAAATGATAAAACCTTCCATTGGGAGGAATATTGCAAATATGGTACGGAACTTTGTCGTTTGTTTAATTTGTCAAGATTCTCGAGCAGATAAAATGTTTTCCAGGAACCTACGTAAGTTTGAAGTTCCTGTTTATTTTTTATTATTTGAGATATTCAATGTGTTTAGTTGATCGGAGGCTAGATCCGAGATTTTGAAATTTGCATTTGCTAAAAATTGTGAAGACTTCGGAATTTGGACATAATAATTGATATTTTTGACATACACATTTATGTTTCAAAAACAAGTAACTGTTTACCGATTTTAAGCGAAAATAAAAAGACAGAAATAGAATTAATGTTTAGTCGTCAAAATTTAGAAAAAAAATTACGCAATGTTTTCCGCATTTTTATTCTTCGCTGAGTAGAAATTGGCATGCACGAATGTTGTTGTTATTAGTATGAAGCGATTGGATCGTTTCATTTATTATTGATGGATAGCAATAAAAATGAAACGTGACGTATTTCAACAGGGTTTGATGTTTGACGGTAGTCACACACCAATTTGTGCAAGGAATTTACTCGAATCCAATTACAAACATACAAAATCTAATTAAACGAATAAAGGTAAATCCGTACGTAGGCCGTAAACAAATCAAAGTAATCCAAATGGAAATGATTCAATGCCCAATGGTAAAAAATATATATATTCAATTTATCAAGCACACATGCGTCCAAATTACTATTACTTGGCATTCACACATTTTTTTCTGTTGGATTTCACTCCCAAAACACTAAATTTCATCTGATTTTTTATACATATAAAGGATATTGGAATATTTATATCAAATTCAATTTATGATTTCGAAAAAAAATGATTTGTTTTCTTGTAGTTTTTTTCTATTTAAATTCTTTATTAAACAATCGATATTTTAATGGCATTTTTTAAAAGTAGTATTATTTGTGCACCTTACATTAAGCACAATTCACATTTTTTATATTAACAATTGTGTCGTGTTTTACGAAAAATACACGCAGTCATTTTGATGTTTCTTTTTTGATTTTTTTTATGATGCAACTTTGTTTGGACTCAATAATTTGCGTTATAGTATTAGTTATATGTATCCATATTAAATATATATGTATTAATAATCACAAGCAATTAATCCTAACTAACCAATGACCAATAATCCCAAAAATCTACGTACATTGAGACAATTTGTTTTTTTTTTTAATTTTTGTTCTATTTAATTGACGAAAATAATTACATACTAATATATTAGATTGCATTGACTATTTATTTTGATGTATGCAATACAATCCATGGATGTATTTTGACTTGGGCTAGAGGCATTCGTTGCTCTGGCTTTGCCACCAACAATTTTGAAATAAAGTGCTTAGCATCGGGTGAGACAAAGTCGGGAACCTTGTACTTTACGTGAGTAATTTTAAGAAATGTCTCATCATACGATCCAGTTTGAAATGGTGGCTCCCCAATTAGCAGTTCGTAGCATAACACTCCCAAACTCCATAGGTCAACTTGTTTGTTATGCGGTTGGCCCGAAATCACTGCAGAACAGAAATAAAAAAATTCAAATATTTATTACAAACTCCAGAGTGAAGAAAAAAAATCCATAAACACTTACTTTCAGGTGGTAGATAGTCCACTGTACCGCAAAGTGTTGTTCGTGCTGAATTTGGTTCATGAACCGACCAACCGAAATCAGCAATCTTCAACTCACCCTTGTGACCCAATAGCAGATTCTCCGGTTTAATGTCTCTGTGCCAAAAACAAACAACAACAAATTTTGTTAGATTGTTATTTCGAATTATTGAAAAGAAACTACATTACCTGTGAATAACATCACGCTCATGCAAATAGATCAATGCATCGGCCAATGATAAAACATAGCCGGCTGTGCGTCGTTCATCAAATCGCTTGTTCGGTTGACTTTGAAGTTCTTTGTAAAGGGCACCCTTTGGTGCATATTCCAAAATCAAGTAAATTCTTGCTGGATCATGAAAAAAACCGTACAAACGCAAAATGTTCGGATGACGAAGATGCGACTGTATTTCGATTTCTCGGCGCACTTGATGCTCCACACTGTCGCGTTGAATTTGCTTCTTAAACAAGACCTTAAGCGCCACCACAAATTTTGTGTCTTTTTCACGGGCCAGATAAACATTACCAAATTTGCCTCTGCCAAGCGGACGCCCAATGTCAAAATTTGATAATTCCCATGCACCTTTTTTCTTGGTCGTATCTTGATTAGATTTAGCACCGATTGCAGCATCAATTTCGCTATGTTTACCATCATTTTTCTCGGCACTTGAATTTTGTGCGATTTGAGACTTTGCGCTTGTTTCTTGTTTGATAGCATCGGCTTTTGATCTAAGTACAGTTGTTTGTTTTGTCGCTGTGTCAGCTTCATTTTGACGCATTACACCAGGTTTTTGCTCTGATTTCACGGTCAATTTTAAACCATGGCCACTACTCAAATGATTCGTTGCATTTGTGACTGGAACAGATCGAACCGTCGATTGTGATTTTGTACTTGAAACAATGGCTTTATTCATCGTACTCGCTGAATTCGGTGGAATTTTACGATTTTCAACCGAAAGTCCCTGCATCGATAGACCTGCTGATTCAATATCACTTTCAACTTTTACCTTTGACGATTGTTGAATGTATGACGATACGCCTAAACGTGGTCGAGACGATGCAATCACATTTTCTTTGCCGGGCGCCGGTGGTGGTGGTTTTTTAAACATTTTGGAAAACAATTATTTTTTTAGTTACTGTTTTTCGATAATATGAAGTGAAGAGAGAAAAAGGGAGAAAATAGACAAAGAAGGTAGAGATTAGAGTGTGGTCCATAGTGTTCAATATGCTTTGCAAATGCCTTTCTTATGTTAGAACAAAGAAATGTCATAAAAAGTGAAAAATTACCTTAAATTAACTGATTTCTTTAATATTTTTTATAATTTTTAACGTTTATGTAATGTTTAAAAGTATTCAAACTAATTTATTTTTTTAAAAATCCATAAAATTTGGTAGCTTTATCTCTAAAACGCAATATTACACTTGATTTATCTAATTGTTTTACCGTTGCACTTTTTTTGTATCGTCGTCTGTTTTAAATGTACGTGAGTGTGAAGATGCCAAACCGAAAAAATACTTGTTTCATTTCAATTGATCGGTGTGAAGTTGGCTACACATTATTCACCATACACCATTTGACAGATGTTCATCGGTGTGAGTTGTGCGATTCTCATTCTCAACATTCTCCTTTTGTTTGAACAGACAGCATGCTACATCGCATCGGGCACACGAAATTTTATTACATTCACTTCAATAATATTTTGATTTCGACTGCTGTTTCAGCACTTTTGGCGCCAATTTGCACAACTGTCATTGAAACATAGACAATGAAACATCAATTATTCATTATTTGCTCACAATTATTGAAATAATTTTTTGGAAATTTGTGCATTTGTTTGAATAAAAGAAAAATTGTTTGTGTTAATTAAAAAAAAAAAAAAAAAAAAAAAAACAAAAAGAATGAGTGAATCGCCATGTAAGTATAGAAGTAGTGCTTCTAACTTGTGTAAAATGTTATTTAAAAAAATATTTAATATGCCAACATTAATTTCTAATTATTTAGCTTTTTCGCGGTCAAAGCGACAAAAAATCGATAAACACGGTCGTTTTGCTGCGTTGGAACGATTGAAAAATCTTAAAGGAAACAAAAACAAATATGAAGTGGCCGAAATTGAAAATGTTTACGATGAGGTGTCAGAGAAAGAATATTCGGAACGTGTATTATCGCGCGCTGCCGATGACTGGATCGAAGATGGTTCGTAATTAATACATACTACTTTAATTCAATTTTAATTCATACTTAAATATCAAAATGCAATCGATTCAACTTGTTAATTCAGGAATTTGTAGTAACATGATCTTAAATTGTGTGCCTTTGTGTCGTTATAGAATAAGAAAAAATTGGTTAAAAATTCATTGTTTTAGATGGCACCGGTTATGTTGAGGACGGTCGTGAAATTTTCGACGAAGAAGTAGACGATTCTGAGCACGAACCGAATAAAAAACGTGACAAATCAAAGAAAAAAGAGAACAAAAAACATTTGCGCGATGTCAACAAACCAGTTGAAGGTAATGCATCGATTCGAAGCATGTTTGGCAATGCGTCTACAAAGAAAAAAGAGGCCAAATTGGACAATGATGATCTTCTGGCTGATATTTTGAATGAAATAAATCCAAACGATTCGGAAACCAGTGGAAGCAAAAATTCCGAAACCGAATCAAAGCCAAAACCATCGGTGACCGCCAGTAAAATAAATGAAAAAACTGAAATGGCTTTGGCAAAAGATTACATTGCAAAACTCACAAAAGCGGTTCCACGTAAACAAGCGCCCAAACCAGAATCAACTAGTGACGATGTAAGTAAAGAAACCACCACATAAACTTTATTTTTCCGATGCTTATTTCTTTTTACACAATGAAAATCCACAGGAAATGTTAGAACGTTTATTAAAGCCAACGACAAAAGATCAAATAAATGTTCGTCGTTCGATGAAGCGTCCACGCGATGAAACTTTTCCTACTGAAAATAAACTGGATCAAACGCCAGCTAAAATGAGCAGTTCACATGGTGCCAAGAGTGGTACGGCAAATCAAATCCCGCTAAAATCAGAACCAGTTACGCCAAGTGTTAAAAATACCGTCGACGTTGATATGAACGAATTGAATGACGATGATATGATGGATTTTAGTATGTTGGACGATGAGGAGAATCAATTCAGCGAACAAGTGGCCGATATATCTACATCAAATGAATCGAATGCGAAAGCTGAACAAATCAAGGCCGAATTGGTGAAGAAAGAGAACGAAAACTATGCAAAATTGTTATCGAATTGGGAAAATACGTTTGCCAATGAAAATGATGAAGACGACGAATTGCTGGGTTCAATTGACGTCGACACAACACAAGCATCGATTACAAGCACGGTTGATGGTAAAACGGCGATGAAATTTTGGTATTGGGACGCGTATGAGGATCCAATCAAAATGCCTGGAAAGATTTTCCTTTTTGGCAAAATGGTATCCGATCAAAATCCTAAAGAATTTAAGTCGGTGTGCGTAACAATTGAAAATGCGCAACGATGTTTTTATTTATTACCACGCAAATATGTACGTTTTATTAAATTTGAATGAAAGATTTTGTTTTCGGTTTACAATTGGCCAGAAGTGTTCAATCAAATTATTATAAATGTTTTGAATTTGCAGGCATTAGATCCAATTACAAAGGAACCGACCAACAAGGAAGTTGGACTGAATGACGTATACAGTGAGTTCAATGATTACCTTCCACATGATTTCAAGAGCCGAAAAGTCACAAAGTATTTTGCATTCAATGTTCCCGGTATTAATGTACCGCAAGAGTGTGATTATCTTCAGGTAAAACCATTTCGTTTTCAAGAATTTCAAAATTTCTACACGAATAAACCAATAAAACAAATGCATTTTTCATTGAAACAAAGGTGCTGTACACTGCCAACCATCCACCCCCTGATCCAAAGAAAGTGTTTAATAACATTGAACACATTTTTGGTTGTAATACAAATCCATTGGAAACGTTCTTATTGCAACGTAAGATCAAGGGTCCTTGTTGGTTAAATATTAGCAACTATCATGTGAATAAAGTGCAACAATCGACATGGTGTAATTTGGGTATTACCTGCTTAAGCCCAGCAGAAATCAGTGTTGCAACTGATGTGAAAGAACCTCCACCACCTTTGGTCATTGCAACGTTATACGTTCGTACCGCTTTACATCCGAAGACTCAAACAAATGAAATCGTTATGATTGCATTTTTGATTAACAATAAATTTGCAATCGATAAAAAAGCGCCAAATCCACCGTTTACCAAACACTTGTGCGGTTTCACTCGGCCAAGTTCACAAAATTGGCCGATTGTCGGTATGAATGAGACGGCAACGGCAACATTCAAAAATCTAAAAGCAACGAAATTAGATTCGGAACGTGCGTTGCTCAGTTGGTTTTTGGCCACATTCAAAAATCTCGATGCCGATTTGATTGTGACCCACGATGCAAGCGATTGTCAATTGGATATCATTTGTGATCGATTAATGGCCATCAAATTACCGATGTGGTCACGTATCGGACGATTAAATTTATCGTCAATGCCGAAAAAGTTTAAAGACTGTTTTGTGGGCCGTATGATTTGTGATGTGAAATCATCCGCCGAAGAATTGATCAAATCGAGAAGTTACGATTTGAATACACTCTGCGAAACGGTTTTGAAACCGAAAGACACAAAAGACAGCGAAAAAATCGAAAGAATTGAAGTATCAAATGATGAATTACACGAAATGTACGAGAGTTTTGATGGAATTTTAAAATTGATCACGTTGACATTGCAAGATTGCTCGTACGTACTAAAAATCATGTGTGAATTGGATGTGCTACCGTTGGCACTTCAAATCACCAATATTTGCGGTAATTTAATGAGTCGAACTTTGCAAGGCGGTCGCTCAGAGCGAAATGAATTTTTACTGCTGCACGCATTCGATGAACAAGATTACATTGTTCCTGATAAGAAAAGCCGAGAGGCAAATTGGAATAAAGATGAAACGATAGTGGAACAGTCACAAATTATGGATGCAACACAAGCTATGTCATCAACATTAACGCAAACACCGGCTCCCAATCAAACTGGTCGTAAGAAGCCTGCCTATACCGGCGGTCTTGTTTTGGAACCGATCAAAGGATTTTATGACCAATACATTTTATTAATGGACTTTAATTCACTGTATCCGAGTATTATACAAGAATATAACATTTGCTTTACAACTGTTGATCAACCAGACAACGAAGATGATCCAATTGATGTTCCAGATTCAACATCAAAGCAAGGAATTTTGCCACGACAAATTCGTAGTTTGGTTCAATGTCGTCGCGAAGTAAAAAAATTGATTGTTCCGGGAATCGATGCAGATTTGAAAGCGCAATACAATATTCGTCAGTTGGCCCTAAAACTAACAGCAAATTCAATGTATGGTTGCTTGGGATTTTCACATTCACGATTCTACGCAAAACATTTGGCCGCACTGGTTACACAAAAAGGTCGTGACATTCTACTCAATACAAAAGGCATCGTAACAAAACTCAATTTTGATGTTATTTACGGTGACACCGACAGTATAATGATCAATTCGCATAGCACCGATTACGATGAGGTATTCAAAATTGGCCATTCAATAAAACAGGCAGTCAATAAAATCTATCGTCAAGTTGAATTAGACATAGATGGTGTTTACAAATATATGTTGTTGTTGGCCAAAAAGAAATACGCCGCGGTCACAATGACCAAAACAAAGAATGGTGAATTGGAGTGTCATCAAGAGCTAAAAGGATTGGATATCGTACGACGTGATTGGTCACAATTATCAGTCGGGGCGGGTCATATGGTTTTGGATGAATTGCTTTCTGAATCGCCGCTTGATGAACGGATCGAAAATATTCACGCAAAATTGGAGAAAATTCGTGATGACCTTAATAATGATGATATACCAGTCAATATGCTGACAATAACAAAACAATTGACCAAAAATCCACGTGAATATCAGAAAATTCAATCAATGCCACATGTTCAAGTTGCATTACGTATGAATGCAACGAAAAATAAACGATTCAAACGTGGCGATATGGTTAGCTATGTGATTTGCGAAGATGGAACCGAAAACAATCCGATGCAACGTGGCTACCATTTGGACGAATTGAAGAGTGAAAGTAAATTGAAAATCGATAAAGTCTATTATTTGGCCAATCAAATCCATCCCGTTGTATCTCGTTTGCTGAAACCAATTGAAGGTACAGATTCGGCACGCATCGCACAATGCCTTGGCCTTGATCCGACAAAATATCGCGAAGCGGCACAAAGGTAGAGAATTCAGTTAACAAATGGAATAATTTATCCGACAAAATTCAAGTTTTCAATTAAAAATGTGTTATTTATCTCTATTTTTTATGTAGAACCGTTTACGATAATGAACGTGGTGAAAGTATTGGCGAATCCATTGTGCAATCAAATGCCGCCAAATATCGGGCATGTGAAAAATTTTCATACACATGTCTTGAATGTAAAACCGAAAATGTCATTGCAAAACCGTTTGCAAAGATCGATAATCAATTTTTACCAGTGCTTACAGCCTGTGCAAATAAAGATTGTCAGAGAAAACCATACACCCAATTGCAAAACATCAAGAACCACATATCGCTGGCGATTCGAAAAGCAATACGTTCTTACTATGACTATTGGATGGTTTGTGATGATCCAAATTGTAATCAAAGTACACGAACCTTTGCACATGTGAGTGATTTGTTTGAAATTACCTGTTGCAATTGATTTTGTTTTCTAATTCATTTGAATTCCGATTTATTTCAATTTTAAGGTGGTGGACAGCCAGGGACATCCGATATGTTTGTCATGCAAACGTGGTAATTTGCTCAAATGTTACTCCGAAGGCAATTTGTATACACAACTAAGATACTTCCAGTTTATGTTTGATTTACCAAAATATGAACAAACATGTGAGAATCGAATTGAAATGTTTGATATATATTTTGTGATTATTTACAATTTTCTTAATCGTTTATTTACAGTGATCCGTACAACGTCTGAAATGGAAGAGACTTACGGCTTGTTGCGCGAACATGTCGACAAAGTTTTGAGACGATCATCTTTCCAAAATGTTAAATTATCCGAAATATTTCGCCAAATGGTTCCACTACAAGATACGATAATGGCTAATGGATCAGCTTTGACAACAGCATGATGAATTTTTTAAACATTTTTAAACATTCTTATTTAATAAAAAGCATCTTGTATTTTAAATTTCAATGATTGATATCACAATAAATATTAAGGCTATGATGACAACAATATACAATCCATTTTGTTCACATAAGATTGGGGCATCAAATAATGCGGAATACTTTCATTCAATTTAATTTCTTATACATATAATAAAACTTTAAATTAATGGCGATAAAATATCATTTCGCCGACAATTACTTTCACAAAGAATTCGGTTCATAATAATACGAGTTTTTTTTTCTATTTTACGTGTGACAAAATCCATGCATGTTTGGTAATTTCTGACGCTAATTTACGATCATCTGGTTTCGTTTGTAGCAATGATTTAATCAGTTTTTTTGACGAGTCAGACATCCAAAGAGGGTATGTAATCTTATCAATTTTTGGTTTAAAACCGTTGATTAGTTCATAGCAAAGAACGCCCATGTACCATAAATCAACATGCATCGAGAACGGTTTGCCTTGAACAAGTTCTGGTGCAGTGCAACATTTTGGTCCATTTAATTCATTCGTTGTGTTTTTTAGCGCTAGTTTTATACGTTTATCAGAATTTACCATGATTCTTTCCGGTTTAATGTCGCCATGAATTACACCCAGCTGGTGCATGTATGCCAGCGCACTAGAGACAGACCTATTGCCAAAAAAATAATTTTAACAGTTAGGTAAATTACAATTGTATTATATTGCCACAATACAAACATACCACATTATTTCGGCTGCTTTTTTTTCAGAGAAACGAAAATTCAGTAGTTTTAACATTTGATCACGAATTGTTGTTTCCATGTGTTCAAATACCATATATATATTGATATAGTCTTCAAAGAACTCAAAGGGTCGCACCTGTGAGCAATAAGAACGAAACAAATACGTACATACATGAAATGATTAGTTAGTAGTTCAGAATATTTGCGCTCTCAATTTTCAAGCCAATCGAATTAACAAGGAATTGAATGATCTTACAATGTTGGGATGAACCAGGTTTGAGTGAATTTCAATTTCGTGGCGGCAAGCACCTTCCAATCCTTTGCTGTTCAAACGGTTTTTGTTCATTACTTTTAATGTTAAATATCGGTTGCTTTGATTGGTTGAATTCGTTTGTGTCTCTCGCACCAAAAACACTTTTCCAAATGTACCTTCAGCCAAATATTTTACTGTATCGTAGTTTTCCAGTTTTACTTCTAATTTTGCTTGATCCATTTTTCTTTAATTTAGATAACACTGATATTAAAATAAGTAGACTGATATATGCAATGTTCGATTGACACTTTTTTTCTGGCGTCATGAATCATCATAATTGTCATTTGGCGGCCATTTTCATGAAACATCGTATTTGTCATTTGGCACCTCTTGTCATTTGCGTCGATGATATGTTGATTTGCATATTGGCGCCATTGTTCGTTTTTGTAGAACGATAAAATAAATAGATGTGCTAAATAAAAAGCATCTTCTTTTTGGTATTAATACAGAAATTGTGTATATTTTTGCTTATTTGTTTTACAATTCAATATAAATGATTTTTCTGTTGCTTTTGGTTTTCAATAATAATAATGTCTGATGTGTGCTAATAAATGTAGCAATTTTCCCTTGTAAAGGTAATAATAATAATAATTTTTGCAAGATTACAACGAATTTTTTTTGTTTCATAATATATTTGATAGAAGAGTAGTGATTAGTTTTTTATTCACACATACATTTTTTTTTCTAGGACATTTTGTGACGAGCAATTGAATGCAAGACCATATTTATATTGTTTGATTAAAACAACTACATTCAGTATTTTTTTAAATGGAAACAAACAGCTTCACATTCTACATTTCTTTTTTGTTTGAAAGTTAGTTATTTACTTGTATGGACTTGGACCTTTCATGCATCGATTGATAAAAGCGTGACAAGTTCTTTGCCGTAATTTCGTCTCTTTTGCTTTACAACACAGCATTTTTTTCCATTTTTTCGGTTTTACTTTTTTGTCAACATCAAAATTACAACATCAAATAAAAATGTGACATGTAATTTATAATTCAAAAATGTTGTAAAAATTTACAGCATTGCAAAGCTGTTGAAAGATAGTGATGATGAAAACAAATGCAGGCTGCATCATCAATAGAAGGCCATTATATTACATGTTTTAATGCCCGTAATCATACAACTATTCGAATGTTTGTATTGGTAGATAATAATCACACAAATGTTTACAGTATCAAATGTTATCAAGGTGTTTTGTTTTTTTCTTGTCTATATTTATAATTCAAGTAATTTCGTGATAAATAACAATTATTATTAGTAAGATATATTTCATCCACTGTGGCCAACAATATGTTTGCTTTACAAAATAGAGCCATGAGATTTCTGTATTATTTGTGTTTGGCATGTGTCGATATACTGCGAAGAAAATGTGTATTTTATGTACTCATGGCCGAGTTGTGCATTTGGCATTCGAATCAAGTTCATATAATGATTTTGGATTTTCTTCACACACGCAATTGATTCATTCGGATATTCTCTTGCAGAGAAAAAGATAGAAATATTTCTATGACTATTTTAGAGAAATTGCGCTGAAAACCATTTAAACATTTACAATTTACATTTAAACTTTTATATTTACTTAAATCGCTAAAAAAAACTGTCTATGTATGTGGTTGGTTTACTATGAAATTATTTACTATGGTTTACGAATAATTAAAACTACAGCTAAGATTTTTTGGGAGTGTGTTTATGTCCACAACACACTGTGAAAGAAAAACTCACCAAAAAACGATGTATTGCCATTAAGCAAAACTGAGTACATTTTCTTTCGTAAAGCCACATTTGCTTGCAAGCGTGAGAGTGATGGCGATCTGATTATTCACAAACAGTTTGATTGTAATACACTACCCAAAAGATTTATTTTATTATCATTTAAATGTGTGAACGTTATACACGTTATATTCTAAATATTATGCGCAAACTATGCAACATTTTTTTTTATATAGATAATATTTAATACAAGATTTGCTTCAGTTTTTGTTTTGAGTTACTATCCATATCTATGATGTGTCTACGATGAGTGAAGAATTTGGCTTGAATTCAACCAACCAAGAAAACAAATAGGAGAAAAATTATGTCAAAAACAGAATCAATAGCATTGAAGAGAAAAATGATTGAAGTTAGTAAAGGAGATTGTAAATATAGTAAAAATGGTTCATCGATCGAAAGACGAACAATGAAACAGAAAACGACTTTTTCAAGTAAAGTCTTTCTTTAAAAAAAATAAAAAAATAAAAATATAATGATTTGATACAATTGACATTTTTATTTGTGATTTATTACAACATGAATATTCAGTTTGGTTTTATTTTGCGTGTGTTTGTGTACGTGTGTGCATGGGTACATGAAAATGTATTTTGTGAGTGTGATACAGAAAATGACTATAAAAAATGAATATTGATAAGAAAAATGCATGAAACGTATCGGAACACAATCGAATAGATTTTGGTTTTTCTTTTAAAAACGACGACGATGACGACATTTTATAAAAACAGTGAAAGAGAACATCGTATGGCGCGAAATCGCTTGTTTTTAAGTTCACATGTAATAGGGGGTGCTTTTATTTTCATTTTTGGTATTTTATGCGTTACTTTTGCTTGTCAATATTTTTTTTTTAAATGTCTTGTGTGTTTTTAAAAAATATCGTTAAGAGTTTTTATGTTCCCAATGCCAGCTTCCATGTAATCATTATAATTGATTTCATTTTTTTTCGTTAATTATATTTACTATTATAAAAATTGTTTTTTCTTAAAAAGGAAATGCAAAAACCATATCACCATGGTCACCAACAGACATGTTTTTTCCTTTTTGATACAATTACACATTTAATTTATTTTGGACATTGCTTAAAATCGTTTACGATCATGTGGATTGGTTTCTGTTGTTTGTTGTTGTTGTGATGTATGAAAAATATTACAAAATGAAAGAAATGTTATAGAAAATTGAACAGATTTTGGCCAAAAACTCTCGCTACCTACTCAATTTCGTCATGAGTACCAGTTAAAAATCATTTGGACATAATCTCACAACATCATCAAAGCGGTTGCTGTATTCTTTTCCATAAATTGTTTTTATTAAAAAAATACATATTTTAACGTACACTTATCTATCACTACAGACAAAAAAAAAAAATACGAATGAAATTTGTTGCATATATCAAATCAATAAGAATATGAAAGACGTAACATATTAAAAATAAGAATAAAATTAAACAAGCAATTGAGCATCGGTCGATTTGTAATGTTATGTGTGTATTGCGAAATTATTTCAAGCTATCACATGTCACATTTCAATCGGAATGTAGATTCACCATGTTATGTGATTATAACATCTTGAAACAACAATTCTGATTTTAAAGGATTTTAAAGGGGAGTAATAAACCAATGAGAGAATAGTCCAAAACGCAAAATCAGAACAGAAACCGAAACTGAAAAAGTTCAAAAGCAAGATTATATTTTGTGGGATAAACAGAATACAAGGTATTGGGGGTAAATGAAAATAAAACAAATATGGCATCTAATGATGTGATTTTTGTCATATTTTTGTTTGTTTTTTTTTCTTCGTAAAATTCTTTATTATTAAGATGTAGAATTACGGGCATAGTTTATAATAATGAATAAATGTACTTGAATATGTGTGTATATTTAATTTATTTAAAGTGAATGCGTGTGTGAGTTTGTTTGTTTGTGTCTCGTGTAGGTTTCAACGCTATGTATGTAACGTTGATTTAAGAATTATTATATAGTCTAGCATTAGAAAGCTACTATTCACCATTCAATACAATAAATCGGTTCAATGAATAATTTGTTTTCTGTTTTAGTTTTACTTGAAATTTTACGTGTAAAAATTAAAGAAATTGTTTGTTCATCTGTGGAACATCATGTTTGTTTCTTCTTCGGAAATATTGTTTTCATGAGAATTTGTATTTGTTTGTAATGCCGTTTCGCTATTGAAAATCATAAATTAAGAATTAAAATTATAATTATACAGTCGATTCTTAAATGAAGCTTTGATCGATCATTGTTGTAAGTGAATTTCAATATACCGATTCTTTTCAGTCTAATGAAATGAAGATGTGAGATTTACAGTGGCCAATCGTATCGATTATATCGTCAATGATCAATCATATTGCTTAAACTAAATCAAAATGTTTATTAATACAAGGGAAATGTGTTGTATGTGACGAATTAAGACTGGCTGACTGTAAATTTGGATCATCTAACGCAGAACCGACGAGTGCTACACGCATTCGGCATTTGCGTGGATATAGCATATTATAATAAGTCTCATATCGTACATAGGATAAAAACTATGTGAGAAAATCTTAGAATGCTAATTATGTTCCAATAGTAGTAATAATGATATTTCGTACTTAAAGATTATTACATGGATTCGTTATTTCAATGTCAATTATTTGTTGTTTGTTACACAATGTTTTACAGAAATTCAGTGAAATTGATTTACATGTCTCACGCCTCCGTTCTCTCTGTTTGTTTTTTTTTTTTTAATTTGCATTACTTTTTAACACACATTTTTTATTATTTGCAAAAACATAAATTGTTTTAAATACATCGATTACATACCATAACGAATACGTATGCAGTGTTTTTTTCTCATCATACAGAAATTACAGTGTCTAATTACAAACGGGATGTACACATAATTTTTTTTAACGAGTTTTTCATTTTAATAATGTTTAAGCCAATACAAAAATACATATTTAATTACAAATTTGTTTACACGGAAATTTTGTATTTTCTTGGTTTTTTTCTTCATTCCTTTCTTTTGACATAATGTTACAAAAAAAAAAAAAGAACGAACAATTTTTTTTTTTCATTGGAAAAACGAAAAACAAAAATCAAAGATTTCACTAAATATGTGTAATACTCAGATTCAATAGTGTTCAGTCCAATTCATTTCACACACACAAGAATTTTAATTTTGATAGAGTATCAGAAACTCGAAGCAGCTGTTTTTGATTGGCTTTTATGATTTTTGAGGGTGTTTTTTGATTCGTTTTTCTTCTGAAATAAAAAAATTCAATCCTCTATCTACCTTTCTTTTCACTTAACAGCGATTATTTTGAAATATTCCTAGCGCTATTTTACACTTTACATTCGTCAACCAATTAATTTAATGTGTTCACATTTCGTTTTCGATTCATTGTCGAAACAATTTTGTTGCTCGTTTACCTTTTTCCTAATTTCAAACTTTACAAATTTATATACGCTTCAATTTTGAAGTTTGCCAAAAAAAACAAAGAGATAAAATTAAAAGCCAAAAGTTTTTTTCCATAAAATTTTGTGTACATTTTTCTTTGTTTTAATACAATTTATCTAAAAAAAATTCAAAGTGCAGATGTTGCCATTTTTCTGTGTGTTGAACTATATTTTCCTATTCAAGTTTTGAAGTTGAATATGAAAATGAAAGCGACTTGCATGAGTGGGACTTGAGTCGTTTTCAATTCATCGAGAACGAGATCATCTATGTGTCTTGTGTGAATTAATCAATTAATCGATCCAATACAGCCATCGTACAATGTTTCGAGGCACTTCGTTGTTGCGCTGAAGCCAATTTAATAGCGATCTATTTTCCAATGTAAGTAGCCTGCTAGATCTGAAACATGCTCGATCGCGAGCTTCCTATGCTTTTCTTTCTTTCAATTGTTTTCTTTTTCAAATTCCCCTTCAATTGGATCAATAAAAAATAAATCATTCTATTTTGTTTATTTCGAAGACTTGTTATTAATCTAATATGTTATATATTTTTTTATCAACACTCGTTTTTAATTAACTGCTATTGATGAAAAACTAATGCAAAAGCCATATCTAAGTAGGCGAATTGTGATTCCAAATATTCTTTTGGGAGAGCGGGGTGATACATATATATATATATATATATACTAATACATAGAATTAAGGTATAAAACATGTATACAAAACAAAGGAAACATTTCTGGTTTAAATCGTATGTGAGTGTTATTTTTGTTTGAAATGTTCGACATTGAATTTTCAAGATAGTAAAAAGCCACAATTATGAATGGGACACCAAAAAACTGCATCCATTTAAAAGACATGTCTTGTTGCACAACAAGGTCTATTGCGGGTTTTCTTTTTTTTCTCAAGTTAATGATATGATACACTTTACAAAATACTTTGATTTACAAATGAGCTGATTCCAATTGAAAAGTTTTATTCCCACTTTTTTCTCGCATATTGTTTTGGGCCTAAAAGTATGCATGTGTGTGTGTGTGTGTGTTATGACTTTAAGTGAAAAATCAAATGTCTACAATTTCCGTTGATAAAGATACAGGTGAAAACCTTTTCTTTTTTGTTTCATATTTATGACCGTTCCTTTGATCGTTCCAATTTTAGTTAGCACATTTTAATGCATGTATGTTTATTATATTCTATCATCTAAATAACATTAAATTGTTTTGAGTTGTTTTTCTCCATTTACAGTTTGATTAAATGTCCACGCAATATTTTTGTATCATGAATAATTTGCTGGATATTTTGTTGTTGTTTTATGTACGTATTAACACTGAACATGAAATTGTTATTTTTATTGATTACAAATACTAAAAGAATTATGTAGTATTATTATTATTATTATTAGAAATAGTGAACAGTTTGTATATTAATGTATAACTACTAAATATTTATAATAAAGAGGAAGTGTACTTTTCGAGTGAAATTTTACATATTTATGCATGTTTTTCTTACTATAAATACTTGATTACAAATGAACTAATTTTTATGCGTAGCGGAGTGAATTTGCTAGTATCTGACATCCAACAAGATCAAGTTCAAATTGCTTCGCTGTCTAATGAATCCATTCGAAATCAGATTGAAATTCGTCTAGTTGCGAGCGCACTTGTTTTGAAAATTATAAGAAGCAAAATGTCTTTTTTATGCTTTGATTATACATATATTCGTTTTTCTTTTCGGCCACCACATAAGTATGTAAAGCCATCGTATTTAGTGTTGTAATCAGTCGCAACAAGTGCAATTTTTTTGTCAAATACAATGATTTCTATATGTTAAACTTGAGGTGAGTATGACTTTGTGAACAAAAGACCATAGATTTTTTAAGTTTTCGCTATACACATATATATATATATGTTTCTTTTGGTTTCAGATAATAAACATCGAAATGCACGACAAACATCCATTTGATATATCTGAATTTAACAATTATTTCATGTTTTTTTTTGTTCTGCCAGTGTTTTTTTTGTTTGTCTTATGTAACAGTGTAGAGCAAAAAAAATGTGGCAACTCCCCCAGTATTTGTCATATAATGTGTGCAATATACATATCTACTTTCATAAAATGTTTTTAATTTTTCACACAGTTTAATTTTAATATTATCAAAAAGTCACATACTAGTAAAGTATTTATTGTATAAAAAGGGATTCTATCGATTTTTTTTTCTTCAACTATATACTTTTTTCAAAACAAGTACTTTGTTGATCATGAAACTGGAAAATAGAGCGTGAAAGTGCATCTATTTAGAAGAGAAACTGATTATCAAATGTTTAGTATATGCGCCATTGAAATTTCTCGGAAATTTGTTGTGTGTAACAGGTAAAATGTTTTTTGTATTATATATAATATAGTTTTTTTGGCCCATTATGGGAGCATACATAACCACATTTATTACAACTTGTGGACAAAATCCGTGAATGATGTGCATATTTATGTATAACTCCATAGCGAGAGAAACGGACGTTTTTTTTTAAAGAAAAAAACGCTTTTAGTTTTTCTTAACATGAATGTGAAATAAGGTTTATCAATAATCAAAAAATCTAAAAAATGAATTATGACAAAAAAATATGAAAATTATATGAAGAAATAAAAAGCTAATGCTTAAATTCTAATGAAAAAATGTATGTATGATCAAAATGCGGTATTAGGTTTGTGTATTTGTTTGTAATTTTGCATGATGAAGCGTGCGCTCTATTAAAAATGCGCATTAAACATTTTCTTTTGTCAATTTATATTTCTTTTTATGAAGAAAAAAATATTTTGTTTTTGTTTTGTTCAGTTATAAAAAAAGAGATCTTAATGCGCGCGCATGTTCACATTTACAAAACACCGTTTGATGTAGTCGGCGGACCGATTGGTCCGAGATTTGATGCGGGTGTTGTCGGTTCGGATGGAACACCACTGTTGTTGCCACCGACTCCTACATTAATTGTTGACACAACTGACGATGTGCTTGTATTCGATGCATTTGTTGTCAAGCTCGTGTTTAGCGATGACACTCCACTTCCAATTGAAACATTGACCCCGCCTGTACTATTTACGCCGGCTACTGCAGCAGCGGCTGCCGATGTAGTCAAAGCATTTGTAGTCGATTTTGTCATGAAGAACTTTTCCAATTTGGCAATAATATGCTTTCCGTATGTGTACTTTCGCAATGAATTCATGTGCGGCCGAATTTTATGCATTAAAATTTTACGCTGTGTGGGCTCTGACACATCAATCATTTTCTGTACTACATAGTTGGCGTACTGATCTTTCATCATAATGTGTAAAATACTGAAAAAATAAAAAAGTAAAAAAATGAAATCAAAGCGATTTTTAATTTATGTGTGTTTTTTCGTGGTATCTTTTTTATACTTTTTTTAATTGATAAATGATGCAGTATACTCACTTATCATTAAATTGACAGACTTCCTCGATGAGGAAGGCTCGTTCGGCACGTGTTGCATGTGTAACACATTTTTCGACCACATTCGATGCAAATTTATGCTGTGACAATTCCAACACCTTTCCACGTACGCTAGCAATTAATACAGATTTATCCTCGGGTTTTCCATGTTCTGCACAAACAAAGGAAAGGTAAAAAAAAACATAAGCATTTCAATGAGATTCAAATGAAATCAAAACACTTACCCAAAACATGTTGAATCACATAATTTCCGTATTGATCCTGAATCAGATTCTTGGTGTGTGCATGCAATTCAGCTAGAATTGGTGCAGTTTGTTCGACTGTGCAATGTTCAAGAATTCTTTGGATAACACGACAACCATACGGATGTGTGCTCAACGTATATACTTGACCCGAGAAAGCACTGATTATAAATTGAAGTGCGCCCGGTTCAACACATTCAATGCATTTCTGTACCACATGATTGCCGTTTTGATCCTTAACACATTTCAACACATGGCCGTCCAATTCACGAACAATTTCCTGTTGTTGTTCTGATGGAATGCTTTCAAGTGCTTTTTGAATAACACGGCAACCATACATTTGTAATGCCAACGGCAGTACGTGGCCTTTTACTTGCTGGGCCAAGGTTGATTTTTGTTCTGGCGTTCCAAATTCAAAGAATTTCTGAATCACATAATTACCAAATACATCGGTCATCAAACTGTATGCCGACGATAAAATTTCATTGAAAACCAATTGCTTTTCAGCAGCTGTTGCACGTTCCAATTTTTGTTGGATGAACCGTGAACCGTGTTGATCTTGTGAAAATTCAACAATGTGATTGGTTAAATCACGCAACTGCAAATTTGGATAGCGTTGATTACGGAAATCTTCGAGTAAACGTGATCGACCCGATGAACGATCGAGTGTTGTTGCTGTTGTTGATCGTGTGGTCGATGCACCCGGTGCAACAGTAGAAACAGTCACCGGCACAGTGCCAGGAATTTTCGAGAACAATGAATTTGATGACCCGAAAATGGTGTTTGCGGTTGACAAACCGACCGGTGCCAATTGATTGACATTACGGTATTTCGTTTCAGCTCCTATGTTAATTTAAATGTATTTTATTAATTCTAATAAATCGATATTAATAATAAAATGTATTTGAAACTTACCCGGAGCTCGATTAGACACTAAAGCACCCAAACCTAGAGAGAAAATATTGAAATAAGTTTTTTTTTTCATTTGAAATTTCTATAAACTTCTTCTTAACTGAAAAATAGAAAAAACATACCTGATGGTGGTGGTGTGCCCGGCGCCAATGGACTAACAGATGCCATTGCACCATAATTATTTACTGGCCATTTGCGATTTGCCGTACCATTTCCGTTTGCTGCAGCAGCAGCAACAGCAGCCACCGACGGTGAATTGAAATCAAGTGATGGACTGAATGCCGATGTGTTTCGATCAAATGAATCGCGACGTGCCGTCAATGATGATGTATTTAACGCTAATCCTGTGCAATTAAAAAAGACAAACAAAGAATTATTAATTAAATGCATGTTAAATTATAGATTGATTACTTTCCGAATCCTGTCATTTTGACACTGAACACATGAGTGCAGGCAATTCAAAATAATTTACACTTGAACATAATGTCTAATGACTATATGCACTCGGTAGCTAATAAATCTACATTATTCAACAATAAAATGTAATTTAATGATTTGCAAATCAATAGATGGTAAAATAAAAATCAAAATCAACAAACTCATTATGAGAAATGCATGCAATCGTATATCAAACATCGAAACAATTTCACAAACTAATACTGAATGTGTAACGAAATGATTGATTTGACATCAACACTTCAATTAAAACGATATGAAGCCGCTACGAGTGGCACTTTCATTTATAAATTGACAATGAACGTGTTAACCTAGATAAAAATCATGATCGGCGGAAAGTGATTTAGTATCCGGTTGTAAATTCTGCGAAAATCAAAATATTTCGTGTTTTTTTCTTGTGGATGTGAGTAACAGTGCATTTATTCGAATATGATTTTGCCTAGAGAATTTTCGTGTTCTCGCAAATGAAATTATATAAAAAATGGTAACATCGATATATTCAAAACGATTCAAAACAAAAGCCATTCAATCGGTTTGCTCGCGCCCGATGCACATGTAACCAAACCAATTTGAATAAATCAATTGCAAATAGTTTTCGCTCCGGATATTCGGTTGTGTGCCGTAAATTCGGGATATATATGCATATAAATCGATATAAATTATTTCAAATATATTCACTGCACTGTGTCGAACTATTTTTGAATATGCGAGTCATAATAAAACTTGAATCGGTTTTATGTTTACTGTATTGCAATGCATTTTATCGATAAAATATTGGTAAAATTGGGCTACACGTTGAACGTTGAACACACATTGACTTAGACATCAAATCGTTCTATTGAAACTGGTTTTAATTCACTAGTTTGATGGTGGTGAATCATTTGCTATATTCCCGTAACATTCTGTGAAAATTTGCCATAGAAAAATGTGTGCTATTGAAGTTGTAACTGTGTATTCCATTAGATTCAGCGGAATAAAATAAATCATGTCGAAATGAAATGCTCTCGTGAGAACACTTATTCATATTTGCCATTGTATTCTAGTCCATAAATACGTTCTTGTATTATTCACAAGAACTTGTGGCATCACTTCAAACTAACAGTAAATAATGTTGCAACTGATCAAGTGAAATTGAGAGAGGGAGGAAAAGAGGAGAACAATCATGTAGCCGAACATGATAGTTGAACAACAATCGTTTGAACGTGCGAATTAAGTCACAAACAATTTTTTGCCGTGTTACATTTCTCTGGCAACGTAAATGCTTACCATTACCATCCGTTGGGAGTCAGAATCGATTTTGATTTTCGTTGCACTTTGTTTTACTGCTTTTTTTCACTCGAGATTTCAAAGCAGAAATGTGCTCGCCGCATGCACTGTTTAAAGCTATAAATGTGTTTACTCCGTGCCATATGACGTGTGTGTCGTTAATTTTATTACGTTTACAAGCCAACAAAAGCGAAAGGAAATAAAAGAGACTTAGCGAGAAAAAGTTCTATTCGGAAATGTTTGAAAGTTGACGATAAAAGTTCTTCGTAATCGGTTTTCGAACAAAATGAAACTAATTTTTTGGTGGCATTCCTACATTTTTTTTTCTTTCTCTATTCGAGTGTCGGGGGAAATTTGAAACGCGTCTGATTATGTTAAATACAGTTGTATCCACAAGTTGAAATGAAAGTTTTGAAGGTCGAATTGTGCAATTCCCCATTGGCACAAAAGTGATTGCACAATTGGCACAAATGAAAAAGCACACACAAATTTAAACATAAATGCAAGGTTCTTTATTATCAAAAATTGGTGCAACTGTTGAAGAAAGACAGAGTAAAAAATGGTTGAATTCCAAATAAATGACCTATGTAATTTCGTGTATTTTGCTTGAATGAAAGGATAACAATTCCATTTAAAGTAATTTTTTATACCATAAAATCTAAAATAAAAGGATTTGATGGAAAGAACATAATTCTTATGTATGAACGACGTGTAATTGTGCACATTCAATGGTGTAAGTAGAACATTATTCGATTTTCCAGAATTGATAAATGATGTAGTAGGTATCAGCTGTAGCTGCTAATGGATTATGTAATTGAACATCAAAAATAATGCTCGCTTGAATTGTTGTTTGAAAACACAAATAAAAGTTGAAGACTTGTTTAACAAGATCCATTGCATACAAATGGAACCCATGTCCAACAATAATAATTGTTTTTATTCTCTGTGTCAAGGCATCGTTGCCATTTAGTCACAGTCGTACGGATAAGTGAATTTCTATTTTTGGTTCAAATTTTGGACTGTACTTGCCAAAGTAATATAATCGTTTTAAACTTTTAGCGTTAAAATTTCGTGACACACAGCATCTATTAAAAAATTAAAGATTTTGGGAATTTATACATTTCTCGTTTCTGGTTGATTAAATTCTTCACGGCCACGCTGCTTAGTAATAATTTTTGAACCATTATGGTTTTGAAAAAAAAAAGTTAAAAAATATTGAGCATGCAAAATTCAAAAAAGAAAATTTAAGCAAATCACAATGAATGAAAATAAGTTAATTTGATACAATATGCCGCAACGATAATAATAGCAATAATGAGTAATGACGTAAATGGTATCTTGCAGTGAATGTCATTTGATAAGGTGTGTATAATATACACTGTATATATCTCAATACCTGATGGTTGTGCTGGACTTCCTAATGTGCCTAAGCCACTGCTGAACGCTTGTGGTGCAAATAAGCCACCACCTGCTGAACAACAGAATTGATCGAATGGTGTTTGTTTGTTTTTTATTATTATTTTGTGTGTGTGTGGTTGAGTTATTTGTAAGTATACAAAATTCAATAAAAATTAGTCAAATCGATTTATGATTTCATAAAAAAAGTGTTAATGTTATTGAATCAACACAAAAAAAGAATACGAACTACGGAAGAATTATTATTCATGCTTGATAAAATTATGTACATATTAATATTTCGTACAAAAAAGACACATGTTGATGTATTGTATTCACCATCAAATGATTGGCAATAAAATGTTTTTTATTTCATTTTTTTCCCGGAAATTGAAACAAAATATTAATGACATAATATATATATGCCTTTGGGAAAAACTTGTACATAAATTGAATTAATATATTTAATGCAAACCAAAATAGTTTTGTAAATAAAATCGAATTTACAATTTAGTATATGAGGGGGGAGGACAAACGAATAATTAACGGGGTAACAAATGTTACAAATTCAATTGAAATGCTTAAATAAAATAAACAATATGATGTTCCATTTGTTAATTTTTGATATAGCTCATTTACAAATTCGTAAAATACCAAAAATGTTTTCCATTCGAATATACGGTGAATTAAACCGAAAAAGTAAATTATAGTAACAAGTGATAAATGTGTGCATTTTGTAAATGCATAATTTAGTTGAACTATTTGTAAAATGCCAACGCAAATAGTTTCAATAAATAACAACAATGAAAGAAAATTGAAATTTATTTGCAACAAAATGAAACGGAATGCAATGTAAAACAAACAAAAAAAAATATATTACCTCCAACGCTAGAGCCATTCTGTTGCGAGTAGAGATTTTGTTGAGCGGATTGCGGCTGTGGTGGATACATGGATTGAGGAGCACGTGCTTGAGCACCAGGTGGAACTAACACCGGAGCCGGACTTACTAAACGCATCGGTGTACCAGTTCTTGGTCCCATAACTAATGAACCGCTTTGGTCATAATACGCCTGAATCATCTGCTTCCAAAGTTATTAGTAGATTCGATGTGATTTTTTGTTTAGTATATGGATCCGTTTCAACATTTTTTTTTTTCATTTCGTTTTCGATTTTAAAAAATTTATGGAGAAGAAGGAGGAAATATTATGTGAAAAAATAATGATAATAATAATAGTAATATTTATATGTTTTAATGAGATTATAACTATTTTCACCGTACGGATTTTAATTTAATTCCGTTTCATTTTCTCACAGCTAAATATTTACAACAAATTGATGCAATCTCAATCCATTAAAAAAAATCACATTTGAATATCTGCATGGAGAAAATGTCACCAAATCATTACAAATTTATTTCCGTCTGCAAGATTTAACAACATTCTATCATTTTTTAATAATTTTCGTCGTTACAATTATTCAAATTAAATACATATTTATACACATCAGAATAATGATTTTTTTTTGTATTATCGATTAAAATACATTGGATTTTGTTAATTCCAGCATTAATTTTCGATTCAATTTACCGTGTATAAATAATTACAATTGTACATTGCTTCTAAGTTTTTTGCTATCGATTTTTGTGTTAAAAAATAGAATCATGTAAATTATTATCAAATCATGAGTGTGTTTGTTAAGTGGCTTATCTCACATATATTCAAACAAAAAAAGAAACCTCTTTTTACTTCACATATACAATTACATACAATTCGTTGAAAATACTTTTCTCGTGTGTAAAATGAACGATAAATTTTCTCGTTATGTTGTGTTAAAATCTTTGTATTCTAAGTATGTTACAAACCTGATAAGGTGGTTGGTTTTCTCCGGCTGGCTGAGACGGTGTCAATGGTCGCCTTGGTGGCGGTTGTGAATTTTGTTGTGGTATCAAGTTGGCTGGATACATCCCCCATGGAACACCATGCACACCATAATATTGCGGCATTCCTGCTGGTATGAGACCCATTTCTGTGTGTTTGCCATCATCAAATTGAAAAATAAAAATGGAAATTGTGCTTTTTAGAATTAACTTCAAACAATGTATCGTTTTTAGTGTAAGGTGCGATGTAACACTTACCGATATAACGTGTCGCATCTTGACCTGGATTAATGACATATGGTGTCGGTTGTTGAGCAGCGGCCGCATAGGCAGCACTCTGCTGTGCTAAGTACTGTTGTGAAGGCAACGGTAGAGTCTGTGGAATCTGTGGCTGAGCTGTCGGTTGACCTGGTGCAACGCCCGTATTTGATGCTAAACTTGGATTCTGAGAACGAAATAGTTGCTGCAAAAAGAGACGAGAGAAAAAAAAATTGGGTTTAAATTTCTTTACTTTAAAACGGAGAACGATGTCTCATCAACAGACAAAGAAGATTTGATTTTTGCGTCAACGGTCTCAACTTGTCGATGTTATTTAGCTGACGAGACTAATAAAGATTTTATAATAAAAGCTTCAATACTACTATGTCCCGATAAAATAAAAAATTCATAAAATGAATACTCAAAATATGGGGAACATTTTCTTTCTTTCATAAACGAAATCAAGTAAGACATTTCGAACAAATACCTATCGCATTTCGACTATTTTTTTGTATGTTAAGAATATAGTCTATATCAGCAAATTGTACAGTACAATTGCAGTATTTATGCGAAAATATGGATCAACAAAATAATTTAATACATACACTGGAAAATGTATGAGTTTAGGAAAAAAAACTTCTATTCGCATGCCAAAGTCTTAAAAAAAAAACTATAATAACACGAGCCCTGTGCTAATGTAATGTAATGTGATGTGTGCACGAAATAGCTCGTTTTTGCTAGCAATTTGCTGATGAGTATTCGTGTTTACGCTTTCTTCGCATGTAACTTTTCCGTTGTGCCGTTTTACATCTCCCCTCGTGTAGTAAGTTTTTTTTTTCACATGTTCATTGTTAAGTTGAGTATGTGCGATCCGATTATTATGGGTGCGATTCACGATAAACCCATTCAAACCAAATTATTTTCTTTGTGCCAAATTGCAATTTCATTCATTTGCGAGTAATATTTTTTGTCTGGCAGTTATGCATCAATGATTGAAGTATTTTTTTTTCTATGTATTGATTATTAACCGTCGTTGTTTCGCAACGAGTCTTTTCCGTAAAATACATTTTTTTTGCCATTTTCTGTGGAATGAAATCATTTCGATTATTATTTTACTATATTTCGATTTTCCGCATAAAAGCATGTTCATTGTTTTTGCTACTGCTAATCGAACAATAATGTGAAAATCGAATTGTAATAAAACAACAGATCTATTATTTTAATCAAATGTACCATTCGATCGAAAATCATATGTGTGCTTTGAAATACGAGAAATTGTAGCACACAAATTAGAAAATACCCAATAACTCACATAAAAATAGCCCCGTTGTGTAAAACACATTAATCGGTTTATTAGCTATCGATTTGATTGATTTGTTGTAATTAACCGACTGTCTTTACAATCGGAATACTGACTATATTCGATTGGCATGCTTGCCGATGTGTTGTGAGTGGATTTTTATTTCCTATGAAAGATGAAAAACGGCTGATTGCTTAAAGTGTGAAATCGCACTCAAAGTTTATTATTTTAAGATTTTGCAAGCATAAAAGTGTCACTAATCTCAACGAAAGCGCGTCGTTTTAATGCTTGTAATTTTATCCATGAGTGCATTCAGTCAAGTATATCTTTCATTGTTTCAGACGCAAACATGTTTTTAATTTACGCAATTTTTTTTAAAATGGAAGATTGGGTTTTGGAGTCGCCGAAGGCAAGATTTTGCCAAGAATGGCACAAACAATATTGAATGCAGTCGACTTGTGTTTTTTTTTTTCACAAATGGAAGGCGAAAAAGTATTTGGCAAAGAAAAAATCAGAACGGAACCGATAAAATAATCAAATTTAAACCATCACTTGCGTTTGGTTAAAGTGTTTGGAGTTTATTGTCTGTGTGAACATGAGAATGATTTCAACAGGTGATACGGTCCAATGGCAATCCGATGCATGTTCAAGGAAATACTTTAATCAATTTGGTTTTTGTTTTCAAATTTGTGTCGATATTTTTATGGGTTCTAGTTAAATTGCGAAATACTTAGTTGTAGCCTGTATAAATACAACGTGGCTCTTTTTGTCCATAAAAAATGCATATGTAATGTATTCGTCACACCAGCGAACTCAAATCACTAGGTTATTAAATTTGAAATGTACAATTGCGTATAATTCGATGTAATACGAGCTAAATTAGAGTCAAATCATGGTAAATGTCCGTGTGGCAAAAGGTCGCCAATATACAGACGTTTTCAGGTGATTTAATTGAAATTAACTTTCTCGCCACGACGACAAAGGCGAAGAAAAATCGAATTCAAGAAACTCACACAGAGAATTCAACAACTTATATGAAGACAATTTTAAAATTATAACGATTCCAATTATATTGGAATGTGAAATTCGAAATTGAATTGTCACCCAGCCAAACAATATAATGGATTGACAACTTTGCGCAGTGATTCGCATGATGAACGTGATGTTGAAATAACAAAAAAAAAAAAAACACGAAGAGTCAGTCAAACATGAATAAATCAAATGTGATATTTCATTGAATTTAATGATGTTGATTGTCAATTCAAACCAGAGCTTGAAATCATCGCTTAGGCTTATACATAATTATTATCCGCAACTCTTACTACGCGATGCTACCTCCGTTGATGACGACTGAGGTTCAGTGTTCTTTATGTGAAATAATGAACTCTGACAATGTGTTAAAAATGATGTGAGGTCTCCATGAGTTTGAGCACGGAAATCATCTCATCTAGATATTAAACGGCGAAAACATGTGGCTTTTCTTTTTTTTAATTCTTGCTTCATTCGTAATTATACTTTGGATATTATACGATGTGATTTTAGTTTATGCACAAACATGATTATGATGTTGTTATAAATATACGTGTATAGCTATGTACAAATAATTCGTCTTGTTTTTTTTTCTCTCTGTGCGCTCAATTACAGCTCAAATTTATTCAAACCAAGCATAATAATGACTAACTGAGTGAAAAATAATAGCACTTTAATGTGAGATTGAATAGACGCATCATCATGCCACTGTTCATCGTGCTGCTAATTTTACAAGTTCGAAGTTCAAAAGCCCGCCGGAGAATCAATGAAACATATCCAGGCGAAGGCATTTTTTTGTTCAACATCCTCAAACTAGAATATATCAGCATCTGGCGATGGGGTTTTTTAAACGCCTTCATTCACTCACAAGTAAATTAGGAGTAGAAAATGCACGCGCTCACCTTTAAATTGATTTTACAAAATGTGCACAACTGTAATTGAATTTTTAAGGAATGCGTGTTCGTTTCTTATTAGTGGAAAGTCGTTTATGGTGGTAATGCATACACCGATTATTGCTCGAATAAAGAGTACAATTTCTTTTAGCCATAATCGATTTTGAATCTCAATGCAAGAATTCTTACAAACGATGCAATTTCCCTTTACCGTATATTTTCAATTGCAGCACTTTTACTTGATATGTACGCAATTCAATTTTTACAGCATTATAAAAACACATTTTCCACGTACATTTTACAGGAAAACGAACAATTTATTCACAGGGAAAAAAATTGAACAGTGCACTTATTTATCGTTATTCATGTTGAGCATAGCATTATTCGCATAATGTTACGTTTTTTATAAGTGGAAAAACGTCACTTTGTGAGGATGCAATTGAGTAAATCTGAATAGATTTTGAAATTTGAAAATATGTTTCTTCATTTGAAGCTGTATATAATAACACAATTATAATATTGAAACATGATATGAACGTTTCGAATTTTCACGAAAACTGCACAAGCTTGTGCTCATTTGCAACAACCAAAAATGCACAATAAACAGTTTTTTTTGATAAATTAAATAGAGAGTTTACTATGAGTTAAACTTTGAATTTTAATGGTTCACTTTTATTAAGCACAAAATTTGATTACATCAACTCATGGTTGGGTAGCAAAAATGGCAGTTTTTTTTGTGTAAGCATTTACTTTGTTAAGCAAAAGTTCTATGGATAAAATCCATTAGTGATAACTAAGAACATTAACAGTGTTTCACTATATGGTCGACTCGTTCATCGTTCCTGTAAATTAACGTTCCTTATGTATGTCATAATTATTTTTGTTTTCTGCTAACGATATCGATCTGACATAATTATTAACTTTTTTTATCAAATTACAAAAAATGTTTTTCACAAAATTATTACAACTGTATGTTCTTTGTACATGATGCTCCATTTAATTAAAACAAAAGTTAGCAGTATCATGGTGAACTGTATTTAAAAATCGTGTATGAAATGTTTGTGAGTAAAAGTCATTTTACAAGTTTCATTCAAAGACTATAGTATTTTATCCAAAAGTTTAAAAATGAGAGTTCACTTCACAGAGTTCACTCCACATTGTTTAACAGATAAAATTACTATTAGCCGGTGAGGCGTTTGAATGAGGTACCATGACTAAGTGCACGCTATACAAATTGCAAAAATTTACTCATCTAAAATGCATTAAATCATTTTTGAACAACAGCGCTCTCTCTTCAACAGAAACATTCCGTTATTTCAACCAGTATATATAGTTATGACTTATGAATCACAACAAATTTGCGTTAATTGCAATTCAGGATTCTACAGAATTAACAGCCAAACATGAGCAGTAGAGTTTTCAACGTGAGTTTGAACATTTGCATGCCTTTTCATCGTTTCAATGTTGGTTATTTGCAACACATTCGTTTCTTCTACTTGAAACCATGAAATTCATTCAACGAAATTGTAGAATAACTCAACAAGCCAAAACAAAATGGTAAATTACAGGAGTATAGCCGACGTAAATGCGGGCATTTATTGAAAATGATACCATTCAAAGAGGTCGGAATAGTTTACTTTCCTGAAGAATTCATGAATTTTATAGTTTTTCGTTTATTTTTTTACTCAATTTTTCATAAAACAAAAACTTGTTGAGCTTTTTTTTAATTATTTATCCAAGGTAATGTTTCGTCGAACCAACTTTTTTGATGAACAATAAAATTTATCAATTGAACTAGTAAATGTGTCCGATGTGAAAGGTAAATTTTTGATTTACACAACCCCGATAATTGCAATTGGTTATTCAATGCATCACTTCAAACTAAATTAAATAAATATTTGGTGAACAAGCTTGTTTGATTACGGCTACTTGATCTATGTTACGGTTACTGCTCAATATTGTTGTTCAAGCTTATCTACTGAG